CTCACAGAGAACCAAAAAAACGGCAAGAGGTACTCGGCGGCGCGCCCAGGGGGAAGGCAGAGGGGGCGGGCCTTCTCAGAAGGCTCAGAAGGCCTCTGGCCTTCCGAGACGTTGAGCCTCAGCCTTCTCCGAAGACGCAAGGGGCCTCTCAGAAGGTCAGAGGGCTTCTGAGAGAACCCGTCGCCTTCTGAGAAGGTCTGGCCCATCGCAATTCCCCCCCTGCCGCGCGCCGACGAAGCATGGACTGGCGGAGGTCCGCGTGGCTTGCTTGGGTCGGCGCTGGGCCCCCCTGCACGTCGGTCGGAAGAGGTAGGCAAAAGCATGAAGTAGGAAGGCGGATAGAGTAGACTGGGTCCAGGCCTCCTGGAGAATAACATAACACTGCAGAGGCAGATCGATTCTTGAAGTAGGAAGGCACTTAAAATAGATTGGCAATCCAACATGCCTACTTCCAAAAACCGGCGTGTACCCACACCGCCTCTTCTTCATCGTCGCCTCTGGCGCCGCCCCGAGAATTCGCTCCGCGCGCTGGGGAGGCGGCGTGGACGAGAGCGGCCCAACGCAGACCTGGGAGGTCCCGCGCGGACCTCCGAAGTTTATGCTTTACGGCAAATTCACGTCGCGATCATGAGGGCGCTTCGGGGATCTACTGACCCGGGTCAACGCAAACCCGGGCCAGTCGGGCGTCGCAGGACCCTGCATAAGTATGATTACAACCCTGAAAGAGCCTGCAAGATCCTGCGCGCTAGCCCGGGTCAGTGCACCCCTGGCCTTGCAGGGTCTGCAAGATCTGGCGCTCTGGTGGCTGACCCCCGGTTGCACAGACCCCTGTCTTTTGCGGCTCGAGCGTTGCTTTCTGTTGCGCAGGGACCGACCGTCCCAGCATTCCTTTAGGCCTACCATGACATGTTCTTGGAATAAACAACTTTTCAAACAACGACAAAAACGCTAGAACAGAATGCCGACGTGTTAAAGCAATACGGTCTCAGCCAGATATTCACAAAAGTTTCGAAGAACATGGTGTGGTGGGCCGATAGGCGAGCCAGGAGGCTTCGACACTGCTTGATTCTGGCATTCCCCCAGGCGACTCGTCGACTCCACATTGGAGAAACCAAAAGGTACTGATGCCGCAATTCCCCGGGCCTCTCCTGGGGTGCGTTGTGACCAGAACCTCGAGGCGAATCCAACGGTGGCGGCGAAGGCATCCCAGGAGGCCCAAAAAGGGGAAAACGGGCGAAGGGTAGCAGCAGTCTCCAAGCCCCCGACGTCATATTTTTTTCATGACGTCGATCCCCAGCGGTCTGGACCCACTCCCTGGCACCCGCTCTTCATCCCGAGTCGTTCCTTGACGGTCCCGAGAGCTGGCAAGGGCCCCTGGAGGCTGCAGATAGCGAAACGCCTCTCGCCATGATCGTTGCAGGACTCCAAAATGCCCCCCGTTTGGCTCTCGGTCGCTCAGTGCCGCGCGGGCCGGGCCGCCGCCCCCGCCGAGCAGCGCCGCGCCCGCCGCGGCGGCGGCCAGCCGGCGCCCGCCGGCCGGCGGCGGCGCCCAGCAGCCCCCCGCGGGGCCGCGGAGCGGGCGCGTCGAGGAGGGCCGGGCACGGCGAGCAGTCGAGACGGGGTCCGAGTATCGCGCCGCATCGCCGCTGCATCGGCGATGCGGCGCGATGCGGAGCCCGAGTTTCTCCGCGCCGACGTCGCCGATACACCGTCGACATCGCCGATGCATCGTCGATGCATCGGCGATGCATTGGCGATGCGGCGCGATCCCCCGACCCCATCTACAGTCGAGCTTGACTGGAGAGGACGCACGAGAGGACACAAGATCCTGCCCGAGGGCCTCACTGCCATAGGAATGCGGAAGCCATGGGTCGCGAAGCACAGGACACAAGGGCACACTCGATTTGGCGGGGTAGAGGTTGATTAGTAGGTGGAGCCTGTCAAATCAAGGGCACCCTGCCTAAAGGGGGCACGAAAGAAACGGGTCCTGAGGTTTTTCGCATTTTCGGGCTCTCGGGGCCCTCCATGGGACCCGGGACTGTCAGTAAACAACTCAGGATGAAGATCTCGTCCCGGAGGAAGGCTAGAGTCGGCGGGGCGCCGCGGGGGGAATGCTAGTCGGGGTTGAGTAGTAGGTCGACCCTGTCAAATCCGCCGACCCCTTGGGGATCATCGGCGTGTGAGATGCTTCCCCCTCCCCAAACCCCTCCCCTGTGACTCATCGAGCTCTATTTTAAAGCTCAAAACGCTCTAGATTTTATAAGCTTTAAATTTAAAGCTTTTTGTGTGTTGCTCATGTTGCGGTTTGCGTGCGTTGTTGCGTTTTCAGCTGACTTGAGCGAATATTTCCGTCGCATGCAACGGTATCGTAACTTGATGGCGTTGACGCTTTGATCGACATGGCTTGAGCCCAAATCGCAACGGGTAATACAAAAAAAAACTGCGGAGGATGCGGATCGACAGGAATAAGGGCAGGAGGAACAATATAAAAAAGGAGGAGGAGAAGGAGGAGGAGGAATATCAAAAAGAGGAAAGCACAGAGGGAGGATGATGTGGAGGAAGAGGGAGCATACGGTGGAGGAAGAGGAGGTGAGGAGGGATTCTTATATGTCAGTTATGCTCAACAACGGCACTCTATGACCTGCGCCTGGACCAAGAGAAATTACCCAGGACACAAGTTTCACCCCCCCCCCTGGTACGGGCAAAGAGGGGGGGTAAAGCTTTGTGAATCTCCACATACTTACACCACTTTCGTGCCCCAAGAGGCCTCCCACGAGTTCCCCTGGAGGGCGCGAAAACCACCTACATCAGATCACGGAATGATAATATGAGCTAATCGCGACCTCGGTGGGTGTTCTAAGCGATTGCTGGTTTTAGGAGCTTGTTCCAGATATTGGGGTTCGGCGGCGGGGCGCTGGAAAGCGTTGGAGATAAATTAAACCATCGGATGGAAGCGAGGCGGACGCCGTTTTCAGAGGCGCACTTGGGCGCCACACCAGTCCAACAAAATCTTAAGAGTCGAGTGGTCGCTTCCGAAACGACATTCTAATCTGAAGGAGCCTTTTCATGCTTGACAGTACGCTGATTTCAAATGTGGACTGTGAAACGTTCCTGCAGCAACCCTTCAAGGTTTTGTTCAGGTCCTCGTCCTTCCAGGCTGCGTAGAAACGCGGATTGCCAAAAAATGGCACACGTCTGAGCATGTGTAGCGTCAGGTGCCGTTTCGGCAACGTCAGCTCGTCGTATTTCTCAGTCAAGTCTAGAAACGTACGGTAGTGTCGCCAACACGCGTCCACCGCCGCATCTGACATCTGAATGCCACTCGTATCAAAGAGAAGTGCCATGTCCCGCAATGCCGTCGCTGCCTCCAGTAGCCGACCCCCCTCGGGGCCAAGCTTCCAGAGGTGATGCGGCAGCTCGTCTACTAGAAAACATAAGAGTCCCCAGGTTTCGGCACCTTTTGTTTTAAGCTTCTGGTCCGATGGGTCACCAACCATTTTTCTCGTTATGTTGGAAATCCGAGTCAACGTCTCGCCTGGAAACTCTTTTGCACGTCGTTTATACCAATTGGTGATGGCATTGCGGAAGGTAAGGATTGCAATGCCAATGATTTCGTCTTGGGTACCATGACCGCCCCAAGCGCCGCTGAGAATTAGCTTCCACACTACCAGCTTGCAGAAAGAAAGAAACACTCCGAGATATAATGTGTGGAGCGAATCGGGCGTCAACGTTCGCCATACAGTGATTCCCAGCTCTGTGCTGAAGAGCGGATTCCTGTGGCGTGTCAACGTCTCCCTCGATTGGCGCCAGAACACTATGCGTTTGACGGTGGACAAATCAAGCTGCTCGAACTTCCCCACGTCTGGGAGGTCTGGGCACGGCTCCAGCCGATCGTCTCGCTCCAGCTCCAGCAGAGGTATCGGGTTCTCCAGTGCGCGACCGTGACTGCCAGCTGGCCGTTTGTCGTAACGCAGCTTGCCCACATCGAGTATAAGTTGCCTGAGATGGGGGGTCAGCGGAATAATGATTTCACAACGGCTGCATGCATCGTCGTACTCGTGCTCCAACTTCTCCCTGTGGGGGAAACCCGTGCGACAAGCGCCAGCAGCGCGGTACATCCCAGCACCGTGAGCATTGCAGCTGTGGCACGGCCGCGCTATATCAGACCACGTTGGCAAGCCTATTGTTCCAGCGTATTCGGCCTGGTCTCCCTTGATAAAGAGCAAGCATGAACGCATGGCGAGCGCGGTGCCCGCGCGCCCTCGTCTCTGAGTGTCAGACTCGACCCACGCTTCGCCGTCGTGTCGCTTCTCAGGGTAGCGCTTGTCGGCCATGGCCGCAAATGACCACCGTAGAAACGACATTAACACTGATATCGAACACCGGCCCCTGCAACCGCATCGGCAGAGAGACTTCTTGCGGAGAACCGCAACGAGGTGCCGTGCCCCATCAACGAAGCACTCCACCCACACGCCGACGACGCTGTCGGCGTGCGAATACGGAGCGCCATCCAGGTACAGACACAGAGGCCGAACGGGGTCATCGCGACTACCATGCCTCACTACAACAGGGTGCTGGGCATGCGAATTGGGCAGCTCATTGCTGTCGATTGCTTCTCTCAGGGAGGTTCGGGCGTGTGGGCCCACGCCGACATCGAGCTGTTCATGCGGCACAAAAACTGGCACCTGTCGAACCGATCGTGCCAACGACGAGTTGTCGAAGCATGGCAGGCTCAATAAATACATCTCGTCACGGTCCTGGGTTCTGCCGATGTGATCGTTTATTTTTCGTTGTTCGTTGCCGCTGTGAGAGCCAGGCCTCATGCCTAGCTTGGCGGCCTTGTCAATGCCAGCAATGCCAGCGTAGTACATTAGCGAACAAAACTGGGTTGCGCTCAACTCGCGTGCCAACAACAACTCTGTACAAAACTCAATGAACATGTCAGCTGGGTCGTCGTCGTTGTCGCCACAGTCGGAGCTGTCTGGCAGCACCTCGTCGGC